GGTAGCCACGGCAGAGCTCCCGAGAGCAGAGCTCCGCTACCTGCAGCAGGGAAGCGGCCGCTCCCGCATCAGCCTCCGGGAACAAATCCGAGCTGACAGCAGAGGAGGGAAACGCTCCGTTTGATCTGCCAATTGACGCTGCCTGTCGGGTCGAGGAGCTGTGTTCTGGGTAACTCTCCATTTTGCTTCCCAGCCAACTATCTCTGATTAACACTTGTTTCTTGGCTCGGGCCGATACAAGGCTTTCAGGATCAAATGCTTTTCATCTCGGAGCTGCGTGACAGTAAGCGACGACTGGCACCGGCACGGCGGAGTGAAACCGCGGGGGAACAGCGGAATCGCTCTGGAGAGCGCGGCGGTGAGACCCCAAACCCTTCACGTGTAGGAGTGGAGGCTTCTCCAGCCGCCTGCCCCCCGGACTGACACAGGGCTGGGTCTCTGCCCTCCGGAAGACCTGCCACGGACCAACGCACACAGCGTGGCTCCCATGCCCCGTGGCCAACGGAGACAGATTTTATGGTATTCCAGAGGAAAATGTCAATATTGATGGTTCATAAATACCGCACGTATTTTTAATTAAACTTTCTGGTGTAGCAGTTTGGTGGAGGTAAAGAACGTCAGGAGCTTTTGTGCACGTCTCTGACACAACAGGGACAAAGGCAACCACCACTGCGCTGCAAAAAAATACAAGAATTAATAAAGAACCAAGCTCTCCACGCACGGCTAAACGTCCTCCCCTGCAGCCTCACATCTCCAGACGTGAGAAAAGCCTGCACAGCTACACCCAGCAGAGGCTGCAGCCGTGGTCTCTCCTCGTCTATTTACGGCATTCACGTCTGGACTGACGCAACAGCAAACGGAGCCGACGGTGAGGTCTGTCCCGCTCCCTTGGGTGCTGGGGGAGAACGGTGCTCAGCATCACCGAGCACCCGCCCTCCCTCCGGCCCGCCCGGGGACACGGAGCAGCTTCCCCTGATGTCCCAACCAACAACAGCAGGAGGAAGGAGAGAGGGTGAGGAAGTCCGGGGAAGCTGCCCCTTGGGCCACCAGTGGGGTTTCCGAGTCAGGGACTCTGCCGTACCACGCTCTGCCGAGGGCGAGTGCCGGGTGGCCCGGGCAGCGTCCCCTCCCTGCGCCCCGTGCCCGGCGGGGAGCACCCATGCGGCTTCACCCCACCAGACGAGCCAATTCCCCTCCTCAGCACCAGCTCTGAATCCTGGCAGCGCTGAGAGAGCCTTCGAAATGCTGCCGTGGGAGCGCTAAGCGCAAGATGTGTCATTTGTAGATAGAAACACTATTTTGAGACATAGAACATTCAGATATTTTAAATATTAACTATTAAAAGCAAACATTTTTGAAATTCCTACACAAACACGTATTTATAGCACCGTTTGACACCGGCTGCCTGCGCTGAGGC